CCTCTCCTTGCCGCTCTCAGCACGCTGTGTAGGTAAGCATCTCATGAAGCTGCTCCCTACTGGACGCTCGCTCACCTACGCAGCGCCCCCTGCTGCTACGCTCGCTCACCTCTCCTTGCCGCTCTCGGCGACGATGTCGGCTAGCAGCTTCATGAGATGCTTACCTACACAGCGCCCCCTACTGGACGCTCGCTCACCCACGCGGCGCCCCCTGCTGCTACGCTCGCTCACCTCTCCTTGCCGCTCTCGGCGATGATGTCGGCTAGCAGCTTCATGAGATGCTCGACATCGCGGATGAGCTGCTGCCGCTGCGGCTCCTGCTCGCGCAGCTCCAGCAGGTGGCGCCGCCGCGTCTCCTGCGTCTGCCGCATCGCCACCAGCTGGCGCCGCATCTGCTCCTGCTCGGCGTGCTTGCGCTCGGGCGACTGCACGATGTCGCGCTCCATCTTGCCGCACTCGTCGCGCTGCTTGCCGATCTTCTGCCGCAGCTGCTCCTGCGTGCGGGCGGAGGAGCAGGTCAACGAGTGAGACACGGGGGTGATGGGGGGGCAACGTATTAGTCAGCGAGCCGTGCAGCCGTGATTTGCATGGTCAGTTTTGAAACTTCACGGCCAAAAATGTGTAGCACGGCCTAAAATATTGATCTAAAGAAACACATATAAAAAAAATTGCACTCCCAAATATTTTGTCTGCACTCCCACAATATTCATTCCTGGCTAATACCCTGATGGGGGAAGGAGGGTGTGGAAGTGATGGAGGGAGAGGGAAGAGAGATCGGAAGTAAATGTTGGAGGGAGAAGGGGAGGGAAGAGGGAGGAAGTGATTGAAGGAGTGGGAGAGATGGGGACAGAAGTGATGCAGGAAAGGGGAAGACAGATCGGAAGTAAATGTTGGAGAGAGAAGGGGAGGGGGAGGGGGAGGTAGGAAGTGATGGAAGGAGAGGGGAGGGAGAAAGGGGGGAAGCGAGACTGGTACGAGGTTATGGAGAGAGAGTTTAGAGTGATTTTAGAGTGATAGAGGGCGAGAGGGCTGAAGTGATAAAGGGAAGGGGTAGAGCAGGAGAGTGGTGAAGGAAGGGAGAGAGATATATAAAGATAGATAGATAGAGAAAGAAAGAGAGAGAGAGAGAGAGAGAGAGAGAGAGAGAGAGAGAGAGAGAGAGAGAGAGAGAGAGAGAGAGAGAGAGAGAGAGAGAGAGAGAGAGAGAGAGAGAGAGAGAGAGAGAGAGAGAGAGAGAGAGAGAGAGAG